GGCGAGTGTTCTACCGCTGCGCCACGGGGACTGTCAAACATCACAAATCAGTATACAGTATACTGAATGTATACTGTCCTCTTAAGGGTCCAAAGGTGTTATTCCTCCCTTATTCCTATTGACCTTTTCTTCCCCCCTTCCTCCACTTCCCTCCTTCCCCTTCCCTCTTCCCTTCCCTGCTCCTCTCCCTGTCACTCCTGCCATTATATTTGTATGGTCGCCATTGTCACACTTCTCCTCACCCTCCAATCATTGACCATTGGTGACATATTCACACCTGTTCAAAGGTGCAGGATTTCCATAGGTGCAGGGTTTCCATAGGTGCAGGGTTTCCATAGGTGCAGGGTTTCCAAAATTGCAGGTTTTGCAAAGGGGCAAGTTTTCCAAAGTGGCAAGTTTTCCAAAGTGGCAAGTTTTCCAAAGGTGCAAGTTTTCCAAAGGTGCAAGTTTTCCAAAGGTGCAAGTTTTCCAAAAGGTGCAAGTTTTCCAAAGGTGCAAGTTTTCCAAAGGTGCAAGTTTTGCATTCCAGGCGGTAATGTGAGGCACCTTCGCGACGCTACGCCATCCTGGCCCGAGTCTTGTCCTGCACAATGTGAACATTAGAAATATATAGACGCGAACTTTTCTCAGAAATGTTAAATTTTTTAATTTTCCTCCCACACCATCCCACACCTGAGGCTCCCACACCATCCCACACCTGCACACACCTGAGGCTCCCACACCATCCCACACCTGCACACACCTGAGGCTCCCACACCATCCCCCACCTGCACACACCTGAGGCTCCCACACCATCCCCCACCTGCACACACCTGAGGCTCCCACACCATCCCCCACCTGCACACACCTGAGGCTCCCACACCATCCCACACCTGCACACACCTGAGGCTCCCACACCATCCCCCACCTGCACACACCTGAGGCTCCCACACCTGCACACACCTGAGGCTCCCAAACCATCCCCCACCTGCACACACCTGAGGCTCCCACACCATCCCCCACCTGCACACACCTGAGGCTCCCACACCATCCCCCACCTGCACACACCTGAAGCTCCCACACCTGCACACACCTGAGGCTCCCACACCATCCCCCACCTGCACACACCTGAGGCTCCCACACCTGCACACACCTGCACACACCTGAGGCTCCCACACCATCCCCCACCTGCACACACCTGAGGCTCCCACACCTGCACACACCTGAGGCTCCCACACCTGCACACACCTGAGGCTCCCACACCATCCCCCACCTGCACACACCTGAGGCTCCCACACCTGCACACACCTGAGGCTCCCACACCATCCCCCACCTGCACACACCTGAGGCTCCCACACCATCCCCCACCTGCACACACCTGAGGCTCCCACACCATCCCCCACCTGAAGCTCCCACACCTGCACACACCTGAGGCTCCCATACCATCCCCCACCTGCACACACCTGAGGCTCCCACACCTGCACACACCTGAGGCGCCCACACCATCCCCCACCTGCACACACCTGAGGCTCCCACACCATCCCCCACCTGCACACACCTGAGGCTCCCACACCATCCCCCACCTGCACACACCTGAGGCTCCCACACCATCCCCCACCTGCACACACCTGAGGCTCCCACACCATCCCCCACCTGCACACACCTGAGGCTCCCACACCATCCCCCACCTGCACACACCTGAGGCTCCCACACCTGCACACACCTGAGGCTCCCACACCATCCCCCACCTGCACACACCTGAGGCTCCCACACCTGCACACACCTGAGGCTCCCACACCTGCACACACCTGAGGCTCCCACACCATCCCCCACCTGCACACACCTGAGGCTCCCACACCTGCACACACCTGAGGCTCCCACACCATCCCCCACCTGCACACACCTGAGGCTCCCACACCATCCCCCACCTGCACACACCTGAGGCTCCCACACCATCCCCCACCTGCACAAACCTGAGGCTCCCACACCTGCACACACCTGAGGCTCCCACACCTGCACACACCTGAGGCTCCCACACCATCCCACACCTGATCACACCTGAGGATCCCACACCTGCACACACCTGAGGCTCCCACACCATCCCCCACCTGCACACACCTGAGGCTCCCACACCTGCACACACCTGAGGCTCCCACACCATCCCCCACCTGCACACACCTGAGGCTCCCACACCATCCCCCACCTGCACACACCGGAGGCTCCCACACCATCCCCCACCTGCACACACCTGAGGCTCCCACACCATCCCCCACCTGCACACACCTGAGGCTCCCACACCATCCCCCACCTGCACACACCTGAGGCTCCCACACCATCCCCCACCTGCACACACCTGAGGCTCCCACACCTGCACACACCTGAGGCTCCCACACCATCCCCCACCTGCACACACCTGAGGCTCCCACACCATCCCCCACCTGCACACACCTGAGGCTCCCACACCATCCCACACCTGCACACACCTGAGGCTCCCACACCATCCCCCACCTGCACACACCTGAGGCTCCCACACCATCCCCCACCTGCACACACCTGAGGCTCCCACACCATCCCCCACCTGCACACACCTGAGGCTCCCACACCATCCCCCACCTGCACACACCTGAGGCTCCCACACCTGCACACACCTGAGGCTCCCACACCATCCCCCACCTGCACACACCTGAGGCTCCCACACCATCCCCCACCTGAGGCTCCCACACCATCCCCCACCTGAGGCTCCCACACCATCCCCCACCTGCACACACCTGAGGCTCCCACACCTGCACACACCTGAGGCTCCCACACCATCCCCCACCTGCACACACCTGAGGCTCCCACACCATCCCCCACCTGAGGCTCCCACACCATCCCCCACCTGCACACACCTGAGGCTCCCACACCTGCACACACCTGAGGCTCCCACACCATCCCCCACCTGCACACACCTGAGGCTCCCACACCTGCACACACCTGAGGCTCCCACACCATCCCCCACCTGCACACACCTGAGGCTCCCACACCATCCCCCACCTGCACACACCTGAGGCTCCCACACCATCCCCCACCTGCACACACCTGAGGCTCCCACACCTGCACACACCTGAGGCTCCCACACCATCCCCCACCTGCACACACCTGAGGCTCCCACACCTGCACACACCTGAGGCTCCCACACCATCCCCCACCTGCACACACCTGAGGCTCCCACACCATCCCCCACCTGCACACACCTGAGGCTCCCACACCATCCCCCACCTGCACACACCTGAGGCTCCCACACCATCCCCCACCTGCACACACCTGAGGCTCCCACACCATCCCCCACCTGCACACACCTGAGGCTCCCACACCTGCACACACCTGAGGCTCCCACACCATCCCCCACCTGAGGCTCCCACACCATCCCCCACCTGCACACACCTGAGGCTCCCACACCTGCACACACCTGAGGCTCCCACACCATCCCCCACCTGCACACACCTGAGGCTCCCACCCCATCCCCCACCTGAGGCTCCCACACCATCCCCCACCTGCACACACCTGAGGTTCCCACACCTGCACACACCTGAGGCTCCCACACCATCCCCCACCTGCACACACCTGAGGCTCCCACACCTGCACACACCTGAGGCTCCCACACCATCCCCCACCTGCACACACCTGAGGCTCCCACACCTGCACACACCTAAGGCTCCCACACCATCCCCCACCTGCACACACCTGAGGCTCCCACACCATCCCCCACCTGCACACACCTGAGGCTCCCACACCTGCACACACCTGAGGCTCCCACACCATCCCCCACCTGCACACACCTGAGGCTCCCACACCTGCACACACCTGAGGCTCCCACACCATCCCCCACCTGCACACACCTGAGGCTCCCACACCATCCCCCACCTGCACACACCTGAGGCTCCCACACCATCCCCCACCTGCACACACCTGAGGCTCCCACACCTGCACACACCTGAGGCTCCCTCAGCAACATACTGATCACGGTCAACACTGCCACTCATCACAACAGTGTGAACATCATAGTGACCACGGTCAACACTGCCACTCATCACAACAGTGTGAACATCATAGTGACCACGGTCAACACTGCCACTCATCACAACAGTGTGAACATCATAGTGATCACGGTCAACACTGCCACTCATCACAACAGTGTGAACATCATAGTGATCACGGTCAACACTGCCACTCATCACAACAGTGTGAACATCATAGTGATCACGGTCAACACTGCCACTCATCACAACAGTGTGAACATCATAGTGACCACGGTCAACACTGCCACTCATCACAACAGTGTGAACATCATAGTGATCAAGGTCAACACTGCCACTCATCACAACAGTGTGAACATCATAGTGATCACGGTCAACACTGCCACTCATCACAACAGTGTGAACATCATAGTGATCACGGTCAACACTGCCACTCATCACAACAGTGTGAACATCATAGTGACCACGGTCAACACTGCCACTCATCACAACAGTGTGAACATCATAGTGACCACGGTCAACACTAACACACATCACGCAGATAAATCATGCCCCAACCCGTTCTCGCACTTTCTTATAGTCAATATTGGCTTATTAAATAAGTGCATATGTGACTAATTTATTGTGAATATTTTAGTTTACCTTGAAAAGCTTTACAGAAAACACCGACCTTACCTAACCTTCTTAGTATCTTAAGATAAGCATCTTATTGCTTCGTAATTACTATTATTACTTAACCTATTATAGATATAGGTTAAGTAATAAGCTTTTCAAGGTAAACTAAAATATTTACAATAAATTAGTATGTCACATATGCACTTATTTAATAAGCCAATATTGACTATAAGAAAGTGCGAGAACGGGTTGCATGCCCATACAACTGTGAGTAATATCTGAATCCTTTAATAATTACTAATTACCTGTTGACAGTCTGAGTACATTACTAATTACCTGTTGACAGTCTGAGTACATTACTAATTACCTGTTGACAGTCTGAGTACATTACTAATTACCTGTTGACAGTCTGAGTACATTACTAATTACCTGTTTACAGTCTGAGTACAGTCTTGCCTGTTGCAAACACAATCCAACCACTTGGGCTGGACGGTAGAGCGACGGTCTCGCTTCGTGCAGGTCGGCGTTCAATCCCCGACCGTCCAAGTGGTTGGGCACCATTCCTTCCCTCCGTCCCATCCCTAATCCTTATCCTGACCCCTTCCCAGTGCTATATAGTCGTCATGGCTTGACGCTTTCCTCCCTGAACATTCCCTCTCCTTCCAAACACAGGTCCGTCAAACACCTGTGATTAAGAATTATTTTAAAGCTGAATACAATCCGCCGCAACACAAAAGCTCATAAATTTCAATGTTGAGATATTTTGTTTGTAATACTAATTACAGTCGAGACGACGGTATGAATGGCATCAGTTAATGCATTGTGGCAGCGGCGAGGCGAAGCCCACTCAGCCAAGATTACTTCTGCAGAGATACTCTTGTGTGCAATCCTCTACTCTTGTGGTGAGGCACAATACATCACAGCCCTTCATCATCACCGTAATTTGTCACCAAAGATTTACGTATTATTCAATACATCAGTGTATGAGTATACTTGTGTATTTAGGTGGGTATACACGCACCACCGACTGAGTGATAAAGTATTTCTTTGCCTTCGAAATGAAGAGAACTTGTGTGTTTGGGTCAACCTGTTGCTTGGGTTTACAATCTCAGGTGTATTACCCAACAGGTAACACTGAACAGCTGCAACACTGGTCCAGTGTACAATACCGCAGCAACACTGGTGCAGTGTACAATGCTGCAGCAACACTGGTCCAGTGTACAATACTACAGCAACACTGGTCCAGTGTACAATACTACAGCAACACTGGTCCAGTGAACAATACTGCAGCAACACTGGTCCAGTGAACAAAACTGCAGCAACACTGGTCCAGTGTACAATACTACAGCAACACTGGTCCAGTGTACAATACTACAGCAACACTGGTCCAGTGTACAATACTACAGCAACACTGGTCCAGTGTACAATACTACAGCAACACTGGTCCAGTGAACAATACTGCAGCAACACTGGTCCAGTGAACAAAACTGCAGCAACACTGGTCCAGTGAACAAAACTGCAGCAACACTGGTCCAGTGAACAAAACTGCAGCAACACTGGTCCAGTGAACAAAACTGCAGCAACACTGGTCCAGTGAACAAAACTGCAGCAACACTGGTCCAGTGAACAAAACTGCAGCAACACTGGTCCAGTGAACAAAACTGCAGCAACACTGGTCCAGTGAACAAAACTGCAGCAACACTGGTCCAGTGAACAAAACTGCAGCAACACTGGTCCAGTGAACAAAACTGCAGCAACACTGGTCCAGTGAACAAAACTGCAGCAACACTGGTCCAGTGAACAAAACTGCAGCAACACTGGTCCAGCAACAACAAGCCAGGAAGTGTTGTTGCAACATACCCCCCCCCCAATATATATTTTACGACATAGTATATTACTCAAACGGCACTTTGCAACATACATGGTGCACATATACCGGCAAACAAATAGTAATGATAGACAATTACAGAGATTTAATGCACCATTTACATGCGGTCCTCGCTACTGGGAATCCATCAATGGGGGGGTTGCACAGTGACGTCACAACTGTGATACATCAACACAACAACGACCAGGTGGTTGATGATTACTGTCTTAACTACCCAGGTGGTTGATGATTACCGTCTTAACTACCAGGTGGTTGATGATTACCGTCTTAACTACCTGGTGGTTGATGATTACTGTCTTAACTACCTGGTGGTTGATGATTACTGTCTTAACTACCCAGGTGGTTGATGATTACCGTCTTAACTACCAGGTGGTTGATGATTACCGTCTTAACTACCTGGTGGTTGATGATTACTGTCTTAACTACCTGGTGGTTGATGATTACCGTCTTAACTACCAGGTGGTTGATGATTACCGTCTTAACTACCTGGTGGTTGATGATTACTGTCTTAACTACAATGTGGTTGATGATTACCGTCTTAACTACCAGGTGGTTGATGATTACTGTCTTAACTACAATGTGGTTGATGACTACCGTCTTAACTACCGGGTGGTTGATGATTACTGTCTTAACTACAATGTGGTTGATGATTACTGTCTTAACTACCAGGTGGTTGATGATTACCGTCTTAACTACAATGTGGTTGATGATTACCGTCTTAACTACCAGGTGGTTGATGATTACCGTCTTAACTACCAGGTGGTTGATGATTACTGTCTTAACTACCTGGTGGTTGATGACTACCGTCTTAACTACCGGGTGGTTGATGATTACTGTCTTAACTACAATGTGGTTGATGATTACCGTCTTAACTACCAGGTGGTTGATGATTACCGTCTTAACTACAATGTGGTTGATGATTACTGTCTTAACTACCTGGTGGTTGATGATTACTGTCTTAATTACCTGGTGGTTGATGATTACCGTCTTAACTACCTGGTGGTTATTAAGACGGTTGTTAAGACCACCACCACCAAGCCACCACCACCACCACCACCAAACCTCCACCACCACCACCAAGCCTCCACCACCACCACCACCAAGCCTCCACCACCACCACCAAGCCTCCACCACCACCAAACCTCCACCACCACCACCAAGCCTCCACCACCACCACCACCACCAAGCCACCACCACCAAGCCTCCACCACCACCACCAAACCTCCACCACCACCACCAAGCCTCCACCACCACCACCACCACCAAGCCACCACCACCAAGCCTCCACCACCACCACCAAGCCTCCACCACCACCAAACCTCCACCACCACCAAACCTCCACCACCACCACCACCACCACCAAGCCACCACCACCAAGCCTCCACCACCAAGCCTCCACCACCACCACCACCAAGCCACCACCACCAAGCCTCCACCACCACCACCAAGCCTCCTCCACCACCACCAAGCCACCACCACCACCACCAAGCCTCCACCACCACCAAGCCACCACCACCACCACCAAGCCTCCACCACCACCACCAAGCCTCCACCACCACCACCAAGCCTCCACCACCACCACCAAGCCTCCACCACCACCACCAAGCCTCCACCACCACCCTTGGGGGAGCCTCACTGCGCCCCAACAAGCCACGGGGACTCACACTGCTGCTGCTGCTGCTCTCCACCACTCAAGCAGCGGGGCACACTCTTTACCGCCACTCTCTTCTTTCCGGGCTCTTACTCATACCTCCTGAGAGCCTCCTTGAGAGCCTCCTTGAGGGCCCTCCTTGGGGGCCTTCTTCAGGGGCCTCCTTGAGGACCCTTCTAGAGGGCCTAAGCGTTTCCGTCAGTAGAGGTGTAGGGGGCGGGAAGGACTCCCTGGCGTATGTTCCTGGCCGGTGGCGGGAGTATTTAGGGCTCGTCGTCCAGGTGTTGGGACGCGGCGTCTGCTGATGGTCGCCACTTACGCTAATTCTGGCTTGATTCCTCCCAGGGCCCTCGCGCGCCGGCCATCTGTTGCTGTTCTTGTGCTGCTGCTGCTGATGCTCTTGTGCTGTTGCTTCTGTTGCTGCTGTTCTTGTGCTGCTGCTGCTGCTCTTGTGTTGCTGCTGCTGCTGATACTGTTGTTGCTGCTGCTGCTGCTGCTCTTGTGCTGCTGCTTCAATTGCTGTTGCTCTTGTGCTGCTGCTGCTGCTGCTCTTGTGCTGCTGCTTCTGTTGCTGCTGCTCTTGTGCTGCTGCTGATACTGTTGTTGCTGCTGCTGCTCTGGTGTTGCTGCTGCTGATACTGTTGTTGCTGCTGCTGCTCTGGTGTTGCTGCTGCTGCTGATACTGTTGTTGCTGCTGCTGCTCTGGTGTTGCTGCTGCTGCTGATACTGTTGTTGCTGCTGCTGCTCTGGAGTTGCTGCTGCTGCTGATACTGTTGTTGCTGCTGCTGATACTGTTGTTGCTGCTGCTGCTCTGGTGTTGCTGCTGCTGCTGATACTGTTGTTGCTGCTGCTGCTCTGGTGTTGCTGCTGCTGCTGATACTGTTGTTGCTGCTGCTGCTCTGGTGTTGCTGCTGCTGCTCTGGTGTTGCTGCTGCTGCTGATACTGTTGTTGCTGCTGCTGATACTGTTGTTGCTGCTGCTGATACTGTTGTTGCTGCTGCTGATACTGTTGTTGCTGCTGCTGCTGATACTGTTGTTGCTGCTGCTGCTCTGGTGTTGCTGCTGCTGCTGATACTGTTGTTGCTGCTGCTGATACTGTTGTTGCTGCTGCTGCTGATACTGTTGTTGCTGCTGCTGATACTGTTGTTGCTGCTGCTGCTGATACTGTTGTTGCTGCTGCTGCTCTTGTGTTGCTGCTGCTGCTGATACTGTTGTTGCTGCTGCTGATACTGTTTTTGCTGCTGCTGATACTGTTTTTGCTGCTGCTGATACTGTTTTTGCTGCTGCTGATACTGTTTTTGCTGCTGCTGATACTGTTTTTGCTGCTGCTGCTCTGGTGTTGCTGCTGCTGCTGATACTGTTGTTGCTGCTGCTGATACTGTTGTTGCTGCTGCTCTTGTGCTGCTGCTGCTGCTCTTGTGTTGCTGCTGCTGCTCTTGTGTTGCTGCTGCTGCTGATACTGTTGTTGCTGTTGCTGCTCTGGTGTTGCTGCTGCTGCTGATACTGTTGTTGCTGCTGCTGCTCTGGTGTTGCTGCTGCTGCTGATACTGTTGTTGCTGCTGCTGATACTGTTGTTGCTGCTGCTGCTCTGGTGTTGCTGCTGCTGCTGATACTGTTGTTGCTGCTGCTGATACTGTTGTTGCTGCTGCTGCTCTGGTGTTGCTGCTGCTGCTGATACTGTTGCTGCTGCTGCTGATACTGTTGTTGCTGCTGCTGCTCTTGTGTTGCTGCTGCTGCTGATACTGTTGTTGCTGCTGCTGCTCTGGTGTTGCTGCTGCTGCTGATACTGTTGTTGCTGCTGCTGCTCTGGTGTTGCTGCTGCTGCTGATACTGTTGTTGCTGCTGCTGATA